TTTCTAGATACAGAACATCAAGAGAATATTGTGAGACAATCATAGGTTATCGTAACAAAACATTCATAGGTTACTGTAACAATTAACAAACAACAATTACAGTAACGTAAAACCGCCGCTCATCAGACACATATAGCAGCTGCCCTTGCATTTCCCTGAAAGCTTTCATCTGAACCATTTTAGGACCACGTGACCCATCACGACATAGAAAGCCACTACTTTAGTTACACTATCATTTCCAGGCAGGCGGGGCCTGGGTTTTCACAGAACGGCGTCATTAATGCTTCAGCGATGACCATACGGTGAGACAGGAGCCCGAGACGACAAGAACTTCCCAGAAGAAAGACACTGTCCAACACGGTTTACTGTAATGAGGCTGCATTTACCACAGCCAGCAGGGGTCGCTTCGTGATCAAGGCCACGGGCTGGACGGTGTCCGTCACAGTGAAGGGCCAGGAGCTGGAGAAGGGGGAGGAGGAGGAAGAGGAGGTGGAGAGCACAGGCGTTAAGATCCCATCCCCCTGGCGAGTCATCACAGAGCTTAGCCATGACTGGCGCCCTCGTGCAGACGGACTCACCTTTAATCACCCGAGCGCATTACACTCCCCGCCAGAAACACAAACGCAGGGTTAGCAACGAGCTGCACGAATGGAGCCAACACCATGGCCCCAGTGTTCCCAGTACCGTAATGGTTTTAAACCATTTCTCAAGTTTCCATTAAGCCAGAAGCACAGTCAATAAGCTATAGTACCAGCATGCTACTCATTCTATGGTTTCCTGAAAGATTCTGACGACGACCAATTTCTCTACATTAAACTTAGGGTTACACAAACATACTCGTAAGTTTTCAGAGCATGTAAAGATTCCGTTGAAACTGGCAGTCCTGCACAGGTTAGGCAACTATTACGCAACAGCCTCGCATGTTACGGATCACCCGGCTCTTAGCACACAGAAACACTTTAGCGCTGAATGAAACAGGGAAAAACAGAAAAATGCTAACAGACAAAACAACTAATAACGTTTCTTGTTAGTGAAAAACTAATTTTATATTTCCATTTTGTCTTTAGCTGGCACTTGTATCTAGCATGAGGTATGAGGGTCAGACAGCATGCATCTTATTGGTAGACTCAGCCAGATATTCAATATTGGTCTGCCTGGATGATTACTATGTAAATACTGCCAGGATTTGTGTTGCATCAAAGCTTGAACTGAGCAGCAACCCTTAATCAACACGCACCGCACTTCAGAGCCGTTGCTATATGGGCCGCCGGCTGATTCATACTGAATACATTCTACTGGCTACAATTTTAACTCTTCAGAACTGGACACCGTGAAGGGAGATCAAGCCTTTCAAAAGCAAAGCGCTCCAATGACCTCAAAGCCGTCGGCTAACGTTAGCCTAGGAGGCCAGACACCTTACCTGAATTTGAGCAGGCCATGCCGGCCATTGGTGATATCCTCCTCTGGGAAGAGCAGTAGGGGCAGAGTACCCTGGGCCACACAGTACTGCTGGAGAGCCTCCGCCAGGCCGGAGCGGCCCGACACCATGCCCAGCTCCAGGAACCCTCGTGCCCAGCACATAAACCCTGAAGAACCTCCCAACATCGGCTGCGGAGCAATACATACCACAAGTCTGTGACATAGAAACGACCAGCACCCGTGCAACACGCCGATAAAACAGTCCAAGTGCTGCAAGATACTTACTGTGTTACACGGTGCTACGATGTTAATGACGTTGTGGTCGAACGGCGTCACGTGGTTACAGACGTATAGCCTGGCGGCCCTATCTCTCAGCCGTGGGCTGTTTTGCCTAACGTAGATCCCCAGCACCGAACACATAACCCTTACAACAAACCTAGCAGAAAGAAATGGAGGGGGGGGGGACATTTTAAACCAGGCTATTTCCAGTAATAGTTTTTGGTGTATTTGAAAAAGTCTGCTGATCACTGATTATGAAGAAGCCAGTAGACGTGCATCAGTGGAACATAGCAACAAATACAGCTGCACGACATCACACTGCGATACAGCTGCGATTATATAGCACACGCGCAATAATCACCAAGGCTATAGCGCACGCGCAATAATCACCAAGGCTTTAGATGACGGACCAAACATTTGTCTGGACGCTGGCTGTTCGGTTGTTTTCTTATACGCACAATTTGTTAAGCAGATTAGTAGTACACCTAAAATATTAATCAGAGGCGCATCGCGATGCTCAAAGTAATCTGTATAAATTTGGATTATCCCCATGTTTAGTAAATTCAGTTTGCAGAGCGAGCAACATGCTACTGTTCTATCATGGAAGCGATAAGCACTGAAGCGGCGGTGAAGAAAGGGACACCTCTGCAGCCACGTCTTTTAAAAGAGGAGACGTTGTGGATAAACAAGGTCAGAAGATGCTGGTGCTGTGGCAGCACTTTCTGCAGTTCAAAGTCCAACATGTTTACTAAACATAAGGAAACGCTGAATTCATACAGATTATTAACTTTGGGCCATCACAATATGCCTCTCATTAATATTTTAGGTGCACCACTAATCTGCTTAACAAATTGTGGGTGTAAATAAATGTCTGTACAGCACCAAAAAAACTGGGGCCCAGACAAATGTTTACGCCCGTCATCTAAAGCCCTGGTCATTATCGCAAATACGCCATACAATTGCAATGTGATATGGTGATAACAAACGAAATGAGTCACGCCATGAGGAAGGAGGCAGACGTCGGCTCCCCTCTTCAGTGTTAGAAACCTGTTCCTGCCGTTCATGCTACACACCTTGATTCTTCTGGCTGTTTTCTTTGGCCTAAATCGTCGCCTCTCCTCCCCTCAGCCACTAATCAAACATTTCACTACCAGTGAGCCTCATTTCACCAAAATTACTCTTTTTCTGAGCACAGTGAATGTATGCAATATATAAGAATAGACAAGAATAAAGGGAGTAATAAAGGAATTGGGCAGGCGGATGACACAAACTGGGGGGCAAAAGTCACATTCACTACTGGCTACACAAGGGCCGTTTGCTAAATGGCATTTAATGCAATGATCTGAATACTCAATAAGTAATCTTTAATACAAGGGGTTATATGCAACAATGGATGTACAATACAAAATTACTAATACAATAGCTTTATACGGTGAATTGATTAGTCATTGTTGACACACAGTGCACAAAAATGAAACCGGTCCTCTGCATTTAACCAATATGTGACAAGGCAGTGGCAGTTGTGCATGGGGGCAGTACCCTGCTCAGGGTACCTCGGTGCTAAATTGCTGGTCAAGGATTCAAACCAGCAATCTTTCAATTACAAGGGCGCTTTCCTAACCCTTAAGCCACCACTGCATTGCATGTAACAAATCTCTATCACACGTGAGACTCAAGTACTTTCCTGAGTCTGTTTTCAAACAGTGCTTGTCTGATTCTGCTGTCAAAGTGTTTTATGTAGTTTAAGAAATCCAAGTCATGCTTACGTAAGCTCACTTAAAAAGACACTGTAAAATAAAAGCAGTCGCTGACTCGCCAGTGCAGTTGTTTCTTGGAGTGTAAATAAAATAGAACATATTTATTGTCATTATTCGTGCACAACACTACGTACTTTCTCCACAAATGCTACATATTATACAAAATAAAAATAATACAGATATACAGTACACAGGTCAATGGTGCAAAGTGCAGCACTGCAACCATATTCTTTTTGGGAGAATTAAAGGAAACAATGGAGATTCAAAGAAAATTAACAGCAGTCGTATGGTTAAACATAACGGTTATACGCGGGTAGGAGATGGAAGAGAGAGCAGAACGCAATCTAGTCAGCAGATGCTGGGAGCAGGTCTTACCTTCGTATAAAGCTATGGGGGAGGGCACAGCTGACTAAAAACACATGAACGCCGATGAAGATGCGGAGCAGCGTCAGGCACACGCCGAAGGGGAAATACAGCATGAGCAGCAGGCGCAGCAGGCCATCGTCCGGCCACCTGTAAATCACACCCCCACAGGTGACAAACGGCTCTTCTGGGGGGGCAGAGCCCCGAACACGCTTCCCCGCGCCCGCGATCGAGGCGTACAGATGACAGACCAGCGGAAGCGCCACATAAGCCAAGACCATCTAGGCCATGTACTTAAAAAAATGATCTCGGGAGATCAGCTTGCGACATGAAGACCACCCCCCAGCTCGCGGTTATACACACAGCCAGCACGCGCAAAGTTAAATAAGAGAGTTCTCCAGCCACAGGACAGGCTTAGACGGGGCGTTTCGCTACGATTACCGGAGGTTAACTTTAAACCAGCTCCTCATGAAGGAGACACCGCTGGTTAACGAGCCACCGTGGGCTCCGCTGGGGTCCCTCGGCGTGCCGCCTGGCCGCAGAGCCGTTTGCCCGGCGGAGTAAACAGGGTGAAACTCGCTAGCTGGCTAATTTTAGCCGCGGACGGCTCCGGCTCACCGTTGGAAGTCGAGCAGCTGCTCCAGCCCCGGCGCCTCCATTATTCAACTGTGTCTCTGTTCGCGAATCTCAGTGGCGACGGGCTAAATTCCCGCATGCTATTGTTAAGTCTGGCGAGCCAGCGGACTAGCTACTGGTTGCAACTTCAGGCACAGTCGCGGCGCCTGCAGCCATGTTGCAAAATCGCAGCGGCCCGTCATTGGTGAGCATAAGGCGCTTCTTCTTCGCGGGTTCGACGGCGTGCGCGGGAAACACTGACGCCTATTGGTCCGGAGAAGGTACTGCAGGCCGAAGATCTATACGTGGGTGAACGCATGTTGCATGTTTACTTGGCAGCTCCGCTGCACATTTAAGAAAACAGGCAGTCAGTCCCTGGAGCAATTGGGATTCAGGGTCTTGTTCAAGGGTGAAATCACTCTGCTTACCCTTGTAGCTGAAACGGCGTCATCCACACACAGACAGCATCCTAGTCCGCTGAGCCACACAGCAGTAATAAAATAACTTTTTATTACTTTTATATTTCAACTGAATGCTCATTAATCTGCATAAATGATTACTATGTCATGGTGTCACAAGAACCAATTTTAATATTTTTTAATAGACGTACAGATACAAGTAAAACTTCAGAGAACAAGATCAAGTCTCAAAGGCCCAGTGCTGTCTGATGGTTAAAACGCAGAATGCAAACACTGATGAAAACTCAGATGTCACTATAACCTCTGCCACCGTCACAGGACATCCGTGATCAGCACATGTACAAAACAAATGTAATGTGACCGCCAACCAGACCCACAGCTTAGCGGATTCTTGATAATCCCGTCTCAGAGGAGTTCAATTAATCTCATTCAAGGGATCGCAGTCCGTTTCACTATCCGGCCCTCCTTGTCAATGGCGAAATTGTAGTTCTTTGGGTTGTCAAGCGCTTCCTCGATGCGCTGGTCCAAATTCTCCAGGGTAATAAACGTCTTCACATCCTCCTATAGAAAAACAACGAAGCAGGTTTATAGGTAAGCTTTGCTGCATAACCAAGGGCAGTCAATGAATGGCAAGGCAACTTAGTTTAAGTGTTCAGTAACATGAAGGTGAAGAGATTTGTTATATAATCATTATAAATGATCTAGTTTTAATAACTAACACTGTCCCTGGCATACTGAACTATCATACCTTATATCAAGGCACTTCAGAGCTTAGACCATGTACATTTACAAAATGGTAATTTTAAAATAAAATTACTTATGAATGCGCAAATTAAAAGTATAAACTTTCACTTTTCAGATCTCCACTCAACCAAACAGCCTGGAAGTGGTTAATTTTTATTAAGGAAAAAGTACAAGTAAACACAGATAAGAATGTGGAATATAGCTTGTTCGACATTTTAGAAAGTACAGCTTTTAAACTGAAGTCTTATGATGAAAGGAAATTTGGAAGCATTTTTTAGAAGAAAAAAAAAAGATACACTTGAGCAAAGACAACATTTCTCATCTGTGACATTTTGACTGTCAGGAAACATGGTAATACTTATCATGAGAAGTGCTAATGGAATCATGGACAGAATTACAAACTGCTTTGCATCCTACCTGGAGCTGCAGGATTTCTTGTTCTTTTTCTTTCAAAATCTTTCTCCTTTTTTCCTCTTGGAGACCAATGGCTTCCTCCCTCTTCATTGCCAACTCCTCCACCTCCTTCTGAACTCGGATCTCACTGCGAGTTTCACAGAAACAATATTTTGTGGGCCTTTATCAACATCAACACAAAATGACCGACTATCAGTCAATCTTTTGCCCAAGAGGAGTCAGAGGCTTAGCCAATGAAAGGTGAGGACTCAAAGACCCCAAAGTGTGAAAAACCAGCTCTGCAGCAACAAACTGTGGGTGCTTTTCCACTGCACCGTCATTTTCATCTTTACTGTTTAACTCACTCAAAAGGCAGGTTAGTGAGAAATTTATTAACTCCCACCCCAAAGTACTGAAGTACCAAAGAAGTACCCCAGCTGGTTTGGCACTTTTGGTACTGGTATATGACCAGAAGTGAATGGAAAAGCAGATGTACCAAAGGAACCGTTCCAAAAGTATGGTACTTGGTGCAGTGGAAAAGCACCCTGTAATCATCATGACAGACTTCTTCAATGATATATGATACAATTGAATCTCTCCAAAACCCTTTTCCCCATTAGAGAACTCTAGACCCAATATACCAGTGGTCCCCAACTTCAGTCCTGGAGAGCTACTACCCAGTAAGTTTTCTATCCTACCTGGCTTCTGATGAGCCACACCTGCTCCTGGTATTTACCTGAGAACTAGTGTGACTCATCAGAAGCCAGGTAGGATAGAAAACTTACTGGATAGTAGCCCTCCAGGACCGGAGTTGGTGACTCCTGAACCAAGGGATCATGTCATCTTACCGAAGCTGGCGGAGCCGAAGGTTCTCCGCATCGTTCCAGGCCATAAGGGCGCGGTGTTCCTCCGCCTCATGCTTGGTTCGCTCCTCCGCTCGGGAGCCCACCTCCTCCTCGTAGCGTCGGCGCATTATTTGCTCCTTGAACTCCACCCTGCGCCGCCACATTTAGAATGACCATATGATAAGGCACACGTGTGCTTTCCAACTTAAGGAGAAGCAACATTTTGTATTTGGGGACGAGACAACCAGCGACGGAGACGGGACAATGGACCGCATAAAGAAACGGTACAAGAGTAATCAGAAATGTTCAATGAACTGACTAATTGGCTACTTAGACACTGGTGTTTAGGCAATGTGTATAAACATATCGGTACATCATGGACGCATATCCTGTGCGTTATTTTAAATAAAACATAAAACTGCTGTCAACAATAAATGGAAACCAAACACGGTTATACCAATTCCTATTTTTTATGAAGAAAAAACAGTTACCGACCTAAGAGCACGCATGATCATCTGATACTGTGTGTATCTCTCCTTGAGGACGACCATCTCCACCGGGTCTATGGGAGGCGGCACCTTGACCCGGTCTTGCTTAGACTTCGCTTTTGGGTCATTCCGCGACTTCCTTCCCCTGACCGTCTCTATCAGCACGCTTCCTCGGGGTGAAAGGAAGCGACAGACCTGAACAGGACATTTAGCGACCTGAAACATAATAGCTGTACTCGTTTAAAACGTTTGCGATTCCGGTGCATGTTACATGCGAGCAGCCATTTTTGAGGACGCTCGCTCATCTTCTTCGACGATTCGCCGCTAAAGGACTTTGCATTACGATTGCGGAAATGCATATCGCCCCCTGCTGTAGTGGAGTGCAAATAACAAACTGCTGCAGCCATCTGCTATTTCACCAGTATGCCTATACATCACATTAAAATGTGGTTAATCCTTTAAATCAATCAATCAATCAATACCTATCTATCTGACTGTACTATTAGGCCGGTGTATTGTTGCTGTTTGAAACTGAATTTCTATCTATCTATCTATCTATCTATCTATCTATCTATCTATCTATCTATCTATCATCATCTAACCACCGTGCAATGGCTATTAAGATCTTTTCCATTTGTTTATTTGTTCATCCATTCAGGTGTTTACCTATTTTTAGTGAACGGAAAAGATCGGCCTTGCAAACCAGGCATGATTACAAATTATTCTGTATTCTTCGTCTGTTAATTTTACTAGAATTATTTGCTTGCATGATTTTCTTACGTTGATTCTTGTTTAACTCTGAAGTAAATATTGGAATTAGAATCTTGAAGCCTCTTTACAGATGACATAACGCCCACCCTACGTTTATCATCGCCGCTGTGGGTGTACACAATGTGGTTCACTCTTAATTAATGGTAAACAAGGTTCGGCCACGTTGCAGAGAATAAGGCCGTTCTGAATCCTTACACTAGAGGGCACCATTGGTACAAATTCGATTATTCTGTAGCAAAAATGTTACCATCAGTTTGAGAATGACTAGTACAATGAAACACACGATGTATGTAAATCTGAATGATATTTCTTTTCAAATCTAATCATAGAGCTATCCCCAACACTTTTAATTCCAGACACAAATCGGAATAAAGTGATTAGAAGATGGACGGATGGAGTAAAATATACCAATGTTTATTTGTTCTTCTGATTAAATATTTGTATTTATGTTATACAACTATAAAAGAACACAGAGTATAATCTTGTTTCACCTCCCCGTTTGCATGAACTGTGTTATGTAGCATTTGCTTTGTGCCTTTTGGCCCGACGTCACGCAGAGCTTAAGAAAAGCAGCAGGCCTGAAATTCCCAGCCCGCCCCTCTTTCGGAGGCCTGCCCTCCTCACCGCGTGTCCATCACGGGCCTGACAGCCCCCCTGCAGTTTGACAAATAACAGCGGCGTACCTTTAGCATCAGGCTGTATAGCCCCCAGCTGCAGCTCCCCTATACATCTCCCTAGCAGAGATTGAATTTGCCCCATTCATTAGTCTAAGTGGATAAGGCTCCCTAATAAGAGTTCCCTTCCCCTCAGTAATTGCTGTTGATTGGCGTAAATTAGACCCTAGTTGCCAGACGGGTGATTCTCGACGACGATAATACAATTCCAAACTCAAACTAATAGGATTTTAACTCTGGACTCGCCTAATGTCCGTCTGCAAACTCTGGCTGGGTCCTTGTGCCCTGTCTACTGCTGGACTCTGTTTCATATCCGTGTCCCCCACGCCCCCCCCGCCACTGGCAACGTCCCCCTCCTCGCGTAAGCGCCCTGTTTCGTTGCCCCCCCCGCCCAATTCTTATCCATCCTATGAAAGAAAATTGAGAAAATAACGCAAGAGTAACACATTAATTTGCGACACAGATGGAGGATGAGTAAAGGGCGATTAGTCATGGGGGGGCATCGCGTATTTGGCGGTGATGCAGAAAATCCACGTGACGCTTCGGGAATGGAGCGCAATGTCATCGGAAAAGGAGCAGTCCCGCCCCGGCAATCCTCACCCTCTGCACGCTTACGGAGGTGTAACACAACAATATATCCGCGATCAACATATCCAACGCATCTTTACCGTTTAATATCAGGTTAATAAACCGCGTGCACGTGAAATACACCTGTCACTGAAATTTCTAGAACCCATAATGCAAATGGTGAAGAACAGAAGTGATAACCCTCAATGTTTATTGACAAAACAAGTATTTGAAACATGTCCTTATCTCAAAAAAGACATTTTCTTTTTGGCAGAATAGTTACTAGTTGCGTGACATTAAGAAACAACCACAAAGATGACTGTATGGCTGGAATTCTCAGGCACGCGTTCTAGTTGTGGGATTAATATTAGCCTGCCAAAGAGCGATGACTTCATAATGTGATGTCACTTTGTAACAATTGTGATTTCAGCGCTCAATCAGTTACGCAATATCCACAAGCCTATGATTCATTCACTAACCTGCCTTCAATGAATTTTATCACCATCATTCCACAATCATGGGTACCTGCCATAAACGGTAAGCTTCAAAACAACAGAATCGCTGTTACTTATATTCTCTACAGAATATTAATGCTGTTTTTAAAATGTCACTTCCACTCTCCTGCAGAATTGATGTTTATCCTTTTTGGTGTTCTTGCCTTACAATATTTATTTTCGTTTTAAACTATGTATTAAACTGAATCTTTGGATGACTGTTGCAATAAAGGATGTCGCTACTGACTGGTTTCATTAAACCTTTTTTTTTTGCTTTTAATAAAAAATATTTAAATTCTCAGTGAAGTATTGTCTATATCTTTGTTTTATATGCTATTAACGTTATACGGAGAGCATCTTTGTGCTGTTAACTCTTTAATTCGATTTGTTAGCGGTTAATTTGTTTAACAGTCGGAGGGTGCGTTAACGCCACCGATGCTCTAGGTGTCCCGTTTGCACCGGCGCTTCTTGGATCACTGCCTCGCGCACTCTTCCCCGTCATGCCACCCCTCGTGAGTGACACGTGGCCACTGATACCGGGGTGTGGAATTAGTGTCACGGTGTATCGGATGTGATGCCAAGCATTTGCACCTATTGTGATTTATTCACTGTAACCCCCCCCCCCCCTTTTGGTCCATCATCTGTCGTATATAGTATACAGCCCATACAGCTGCATCATATATATGCATACAAACATATGTATATATTATTAATTTATTCTAAACATTTTGTTGTGTGTCCCTGTGACAGGCTGACCCCCCAGTCCCGACTTGTTCCTTCCATGCACACGTCGCTTCGGGATAGGCTTGGGACCCCCACCGCCCTGGTTAGGGTGAATAGGTTCAGAAAATGGATGGATGGATTTTATTGATTGTATGTTGGTTGTATGACTGATTGTCAGAGGTGAGAATGATCAGTGGATGTTTTTTCTCGGTTTATTTTTAAAACTTTCCTTCATCACAGTTTGCATATTTCATGGTAGCCATGTGGGGAAAGATACATTTGTGCACATGTATCCTGCGAACAAAGATGATAAAGGTGCTGACAGAGAATATTGAATCTCAGAGAAATGGGTTTTAGCATTTATAAGCACATATACAGCTGGGTTTTAGCATTTATAAGCACATATAC